GCTTTCAATCTATTCTCCAAATCAAAGATCTTCAAGTCCATTTCTTTAAACTTCAGATTCAATTGTACATCGTTATCAACTTCCATATTGAGATTATTCAATTCATAATCCAAAAGAGAGTCTCTATTTTGAGCGTTAATCTATGATCAATAAATTTCTAAAAAATACACTATTAATATACCTCGTCAGGAATTACTGCTCTACGTAAACACGTAAAGAATAAGTCTGACGAAGTAACTGACGCTTTATATACTTTTTCACTTTTCACGTAATTTTCACGTGACACGTCATGTCACGGGACGCTCCCAAGCCCGAAATTTGGTTAACTCTCACTCTACTACTGTTAAACTGTTTAATTGAGATCAAACTACATATGTGTTTTCTATATTTCCATCATAATGATTTTAATAGCTGTTCTGTGTAATTTACGTTCCCGGCTGATGCACCACTTTTATGTGCCAACTTCAATGTTTAGATCACACAAATATATAGAGTTCAATAGTTTATTAGTGACTCTGATCTGTTACGACCGAGTCTTGATCAAAAAAAGTCGGCAATTAACAACACGCGTAAACAACAAGTCTGCCATGTGATTTAAGTGTGTTATGCCAGTTGATCCCACGTCTCGAGGTGTTACCAATGTACCTGAAAAAAACTTTGACCGAGTTGTTCCTTTGATTTAGTGTATGATCTTAGTCTATGTTTTTACGATGATGGTTGAAACACCTTTCACGTGTTCCACGTGTGACAGGCGTGGTGATTGTCACGTAGCGGAAAATTGGCGTTGAATAGTTTGCTGCCGATCCTCATCTGAAATGAGCCTATAGCCTTATCATTCTCCTTCTCTTCCCGATCTCTTTTCGCTTTTTCGCGAAACAGCGACAGCATTCATGCTGACCATTACACCACGAACGCTTGAAAACGTGCATTTTATGTCCATTTTCGTACCTATTAACATTTGTGATGCATAAACAACATATTTGACAAATAAGGACTTCAAAATATGCGTTCGAGAGGAATCGAACCCTTGTCGAATGCTTGGAAGGCATCCATGCTCACCAGACCATGTGTGTTGATCTGAGTAATAGATCCAACAGCTTCTAGATTCTTTTATCAATCTAAGTCTTTCTCTTTTCTCTGTGACTGTCCGACAGTTTATGGAAATGTGATTGGTTCTCAAACAAAACGCCCACTCAGGCAACTTATTCTTGTATTACTGACTACTGTAGCGTTCGGATTGGTGGAATTGTTTTCATTGCGTATTGTCGGAATTTCCTCCCCTCGTATTCTTTCTTCTCACTATATCTTCCTTAATCTTTGTGATATTAATCATCATAGGTTCTTTGGTTTCTCGTCAAGGAATTCAACGTCGGTCTTTGACGAAACTCTGGTTTGTAGCTGTCGTTTTCGAGATCCTCAGCTATCTCTATTTCTCTGTTGATACTTTTATCGATTATCTTCGTTGTTTCTTCCAAGCTCAAGTCTTTCTCAAGTAAACTCTTTTGGTTTGCTATATCTCGGATAAAGTTGCTTGGAAACTTGGATTTAATTGTTTTGATAATATCATCTGTATCAATGTTTTTGTATTTTTCTACGGAAGATACTTCTAAGCTCTAAGATTAGAGTTTAGCCAACGTGAACCCAATGATTAAATTTATGCTTTTGTTTACGCTGAATATGATTCTATACTACCTCTCGACCAGAATCGAACCCCATATCTTGATACTAGTTTGTAACATGATGAAACAATTTTGTAATAATAAAAATTTATTTAATTTTTTAATTTACAATATTAAAACAATCTTGTAAAAGAAATCTCATTAATTTACAATGAATATCCATAAGGAAGAGGATCATTGACTGATAAAATTTGGGTTTCAATTTTATCTGGTCTTTGACCCATCTTTCCCCAGACACTGAAAAACAAAAATGTAAAGACCACAAGTAACAACCTACTAACCTGTTCAACTGGAGTTTGGCGATACTCCTTATGGCTGGGTTTTCGCGGACATTCTCGGAGTCCAACTTGATTCCGACATGTTTTTCATGATCGCTGAGAAATGTGGCCTAAAATTAAAAAGTATATAACTGAACAACGAAAAAACCTTACCTTTTCTTCCGCCGACATGTCGGCCTTCGGCCAGCCTGAGGCCTTTTGCTTTATCTTGATGTAACTCTTGACAAAGTCTTTAAAGAGGCCTCCTTTCTCCCACTTGGACCAATCCCACAGTTCGTAAACCTTTAAAACTTTGTATCTACGCTCGATTGCTACTTCGAGCTCTACATGTGTGACAGTAGTGTGGATACTACGTTTTTCAGGCTCACTAGCGTGTGAGCAAGCTACGTTCTCAGCTTTTTTGGCACAAGACCGACAATTGGTGAAAATTAACTTATTGTTAATTCTCAAGCCAATTACTGGATAACGCAGATTGGCCGGTGGCAACACATCACATTTAATCAGTCCTCTATAGGGACATGATGTATCGAAGCTTTCAAAAGCTTCTGTGATGATGTTGGGCGTGCCAATGGGGTATTCGGCAACAAATGCCGTCACATAAGGGTATAGTGAACAAAAGTCCACATACTCTAACGTGTACCCCTCAGTCGCTTCAGCTAAAAG